TGACCTCCAAATCACCCCCCTCCAATAGTCAAATCAGAAAACCTAAGAGGCAGTTGCCATGCTCTCATATCATTGATAAAAAAAAATCTTAGAATGTCCATTTAAAGCCCGTATACTTTTCAGATGGTTGTAATTTTTGGTCCTAGAAATTTAGAGCACTCGAGCAACATCACTAACACATAAAATAATACAAGGTAACAAAAAGTGGAAAAACTTAAACTGATGGGAAAATGTTCAACTTTTATTGCTTGTATTCTAATACATGTTCTAATGGTTACCTTATCCTTGGTGACTTAAGACAGTGCAAAGAAATATATTTATTTTTTATTGTTTGTATTCTAATACATATTCTACTAGTTACCTTATCCTTGGCGACTTAGACAAAGCAAAGAGACATATAGATTTGCAATTGGATGAGCCTAAACATTCAACATAACTTGTATATAGAAAAGGGATATCCAAAATTAAATAATCAGTTAAAATAATACTAGAAGGATACCCATCAAGTTGCTGTATAAATGGCTATTACAGGATAATGTAACCTTAGGACTGAGACTGTTAGACATCCATAAACAACAGTGATATTACTGCTTTTACCTCAGAATCTGAACTTGAAGCATTCTCTGCATCTAGGAATTGGTCCAATATCATTGGAAACTCGATGCCCGTTCTGGGCTCAACAGCATGTCTGGTCCAATTCAAGTCAACAAAAGATAACCCGCCACATCCGTGATGGCCCACCTCACAAGGCCTTTGGTCCACACATTCATGCATTTGAACATCTGTCTTCTCCAAAGGAACCGCAAGTACTTTAGAAGATCTGATGACAAGCAACAAGGAAATGAAATTAGGTAGCATGCAAAGAATTAAAAACTGATTGCCAAAAAGAATAAAAGGAAAAAGGAAGACTGCAATCCACTCCAATCATGAGACTTCACTTACAAGTTGTCAAATGGGGTTACCATAGCAGCAGCTAAGAGAACAGAACATGATTGTAATCTTTCAGCTTGATTAAAAAGTTGTCTCACAGTGAATCTCGATATTTTCATGGCAGGTTCCCTTTTAGATCTCCTACTGGATTGAAATCCGGCAAGACTGTGTGTACTAGAAACTACATGCTTCACCTGGGCAGAAGATTTATAGCTTGTGCATGCTGAACCATGTTGGTTGCCTGATATTTTCCTACTCAAATTTGAAGTGGAACTACTAGAGAACAAAAAAAGTAAAGCACCGGCAAATTTGGAGAAGCAATTAAAAGCTTCTTGAAGGGCCAAGTTCCCGGGGACATATAAGTTTGAAAAGAAATTACTACCAAAACCATGTGATACAAGGGACTCCATCGGTAAAATGTACGGAGACCCCCCATCTAGTTCCATGAAAAAGAGCCAATTATTCAGCATTTTTTTTTTGTATCCTAAAATCCAAAACTCTCAAGCTTTTTTAAACTATGATTATTGGCAATCGCACAAAACCAACGAAGAATCAGTGGACCTGCAAAAAAATTACCCCAGTATACAAGATATCAATACAAAATTCATTTAGAAGATATTTTAACTCAGCAAATATTAAATTATTAGTCTCGCTACCACAAAACTAGGAACTGACGAATATCTTGAATAACTAGATTTATTCTCCACAGGTATGGATATGATCCTCTAAATTGAATCCATATATTAGTAAAGCAACCAACGCTGTGGAAATGAGTCTTCCGATCCACTTCTAAGACCAAAGCCTGGTTTTTTCTAACTAAAAAAATCCTTCTAATCTCACATTAAATATTTCTAAAAGGACCGAGCAACGTAAAAATATGGCCACAATTTTACAAAGACATTTAAATGACACAGGGAGATCCCAATTCCTTCACGAATGATGAAAATGCCCCCACCAAACGAAAAGCAGCAATAAAACAAAAGGATGCAATTGTATCGATTTAGCTTCCGTCAAAGTTTTTGACAGCCGAAGCTAAATAAAAGGAAAACAAAATCAACAACAAAACATAGCAAAAAAAAAGAAAAAATCAATTTAAGGCAACTTCGCGAAGAACGTGAAAGCAAACGGCGATAGAAATTTGTGACGAAAGGTTTTTCTTTTTGAAGAACTTTGGAAAATACTTTGCACAAATAATGCAAGGCAGACAAAAAAGGAAACGTTAAGAAAGTACCAGAAAGCCTCAATGATGAAATGGAGGAAGGGGCTGTTTTGCATTGGAAAATTAGGTTGGGGTTCGTGATGACGTTTGTTTCATTAGCTTGAGAGAGAAGAGGAGAGGGAGAAGGGGAGAGAAAGGAATATGCTTGGTTCGTTCGTGTAGGGAAGGAGAACAAGTCAGAATGGATTCAAAAAGGTAACTAGAGGGACAGGAATGGGAAAAAGGAAAAAGATGTTTTGGGTGATCGATTGATTGTCTGGTACTCGGATTTTGGGTGGGTCCAGTCCAGGGTTGGCCGGAGGAAGAAGACAACCATTTGAGGGTTAACAACGAATGAAAAATCAAGGGGAAGGCAACATAATTTTCAATGATAATTTCAGTTCAATTTTTTAACAGTATTTACTTTGGGTGGTTTATACTACAAAGTCATGAGAACCAAAACCCAATAGGAAAATGCTAAAATAGTAATTTGATCTCCTTATTATTTATTTTTAATTTAAATTAATTTTTATTTTTATTTATTTCATTCTAAATTACTTTAAAAAAAAATTTTAATTAATTCTTCAATATTATTAACTATTAATACTATTAATTTGACGTTATATGTTAAATTTATTAATATATAATTTTTTCATCGATATAATTATAAGTTAAATATTATTTAAAATCTAATAGAAAAATGCTAAAATAATAATTTGATATTCTTGTTATTTATTTTTGCTTAAACTAATTTTTGTTTTATCTATTTCGCTCTAAATTAATTCTGTATTTTTTAAAAAAATTTTGATTTAATTTCTTTTTTTTATTAATTATTAGTATCGTTAGTTAAAAGTTATATATCAAACTTATTAATATATAAAAAATTTTGATTGATTTAATTGGTCAAGTCGATGATCCAATTGCCATAATTTAAAATTTAAAAATAATTAGATTTTTTGTTTTCTAAAAAAAAATTAAATTACTTCAAATACAATATATTTGTAGTTCAATATAAACAAATTAATATATAATTTTTTAAAATATTACGTTAAATGACACATAGTATCAAATATGATATCAAAAAATTCACAACTGAAAGCAATAAGAAGATTTTTTAATTAATTATGATTATTGGTCCACAATAAAGATAAATGGTAAAAGAGATGTCAAAAGAAATAATTTCTACCACACAAATTTGAAGCAAAAAGAAGTCCTACCTAAAGATAATACTCAAAAATTTGCCTAGCTCTTAAAACTAATGAGAAAAATTTGAGAATTTCTTCTTTTGTAGATTTATGTCATCACTAATAGGTTCATTAGTTTTTTTTTTTTTTCGAGATTTTGCAAGCTTTAATTATTAAGAATCCAAGTTCCAATTTGCATTCTTTTTCCTACTTTGACATTGAAAATGGACTTAGAGTTTTTACCAAATGAGATAGAATAATGCAAAATGAGAAAATTTTACAGTAAATATATTTTAACAATAAAAGATATTTATATAATCTAAATACAAATTTCAGATTGACTCCTTATAATTTGATATTTTTTTACTTTAAGCCCATATGGTTTTTTATTGGCAGCCCACTAACTAATTTTATAGTTTAACTGTTAGGAAAATACTTTAACAAAATTTATAGTTTTAAAAAAAGACTAGTCGGCCACTCCTTAAGCACATATATTATTGCCTAGACTCCTGACATTATTGAAAGAATAGATGAACGTAATCAAATTTTAATTAAAGCTAATTAAAAATATATTTAATAATAAACAATAAACCGAGCCCCTAGCTCCCCCCTATCTTCATTATCGTCGATGATATTGCTAGTGCATTATCATAGGCATAAAGGGGTGGTGTAAAGATCCTCATCAAAAAAATTTATAGTGTTTATCATATGTAGTAGGGGCATGTTAAAATTGAATGAGAAGACAAGGAATGAAGAGGCGAGGATACAATCATCATTATCAATAACGAAAGATGAGGAATCATAACCTCTATAGTAATCATCGGGCTACAATAATGGCTAATGCATTGTTCTCCTTTAGTGAACTATCTACGTTGTTGGCAGAGACAACCCTCCTAAATCCCCGAAAGGACTCTTTTATATTGCTCATGTTGTTACTAGTCTATTAGTTCAAGTTTAGAGAACCCACCATCCTTTACCTACATATGGCAATGATATGGATGATGACCTTAGTATTGCAAGTACATCGGAGGAGGAATCCAAGATAATTATTTATAAAAAATATTGTTTTAGCCTTGTGCCCATGGAAGGAGCAAGCAATGGCACATAGGCAGCATCCTTGGTGGAGTTGAGGTAGAGGGGAGCTACGGTTATTATTTTTTATCTTATTTAATAATATTTATAATTAATTTTAATCACTTTTGTTAATTTTTTCACCAATGTAAAGAAGTTCAGGAGTGGTCATATAACTATTTCTTCAACTTTTATAAGAGATAATATGTTTGCCTGATAACTAAAATACAAGATAGTTGACTATCAAGAGAAAAAAACCACGTTGTCTTAAAATAAAAATGTCAAACCATAAGAAACTAAACTAAAATTTATCATAATTTTAATGTTTACGTATTACTAAAATATTTTAACTTATTTAGGTACCTAATTAACTATTTGATATACTATTATATGATTGTTACATAAATATTGAGTTATAATTTGATTATTTAGATATAACATCTCTAAGTTTAGTTCTTAATAAATTTTTTATCTAAATATTATGCTTAAACTGATAGAGGTCCCAATCAAAGTAGAATAAAGAATGTAATTTTTGTTCTTTGCTTCGGGTGCAAAGGAAACCACAAGTTTTAATTTTGTTGCTGAATGAATTTTATTTGTAGCTGTAGTGAATTTACAGGCAAAGGAGTCATAAAATTCAGCCACTTACAATTGAAATCTAAACATAAAAGATAACAATGAAATAGAAAAGATAACATAATTACTTAACGGCTAGCTACAGATTTCTTGGCTCTGCAATTTCTTCACGTTTTTCTTATTTTTCTTCTGCAAGTCATGAGTTAGGAATTGGTCTTCTCTGCGATCTACGTGGTGGTGTTGTATCACTACCCCCCCTTTTTTGTTAGAACCTTGTCCTCAAGGTTCAGCTCAGGAAACTTATTATGTAATTCTTGAATGTTCTTCCATGTTGTATCTTCGGTGGAAAGGTTGTGCCATTTAACTAAGCTTCCTTCCACAAACTTAGGACTTTTTTTGAAGCCAACGGGTGTTAATGATAGCTTTTAGTTGGATGTGATATTGTCGTCGGCCATAATTGGTGGCAATTCTATACTTGGGTTTATCAACTCCCTTACTTTCTGTTTGAGCATGGGTACATGGAAGACCGTGTGAATACAGGTCCCTTCTAGCAATTTGAGCTTGTAAGCTACAGGTCCTACTCGCTACAAGATTTGATAGGGCCTATAATATTTGTAAGCTAATTTTTGGAATGTTCTCTTGAAGGCGGTCTGTTGGCTGTAGGAGTTTGAGGAACACCCAATCGCCTTCATTTAGTTCCACATCTCATTTTTTTGTTGTTGGTCATCTGTTGCATTCTGTTCCTGGCAGCCTGAAGGTTAATCTTAAGTTGTTTTAATAGTTGGTCCCGATTAGTACGTTGCTGATCCACCTCGTTGACTGGTGTGGACCCGACATGGTAATGCAGAATGGCTGAGGGCGGTCACCATACAATACTTTAAAATGGGTCACACCGATAGAAGAGTGGACAGTGGTGTTGTACCAATATTATGCCCATGGAAATAAGTTGCTCCATTTCCGGAGGTACTGATGAAGGAGGCATTGGAAGTATTGTTCAACACATCGATTAACTACTTTTGATTAACCGCTCGTTTGAGGGTGGTGGGAGGAGCTCATCTTGAGTTCAGTACCTGATTACTTAAAAATTATTGCCAAAAATTATTAATGAAGATAAGATCTCAGTCACTTACAATGGAGCGTGGCATGCCATGAAGCCTGAGGATGTTTTGGATAAAAGTAGTTGCTACTCCTTTTGTTGTGTATGGATGTGTCAAAGCTAGGAAGTGGGCTGATTTGCTTAATTGTTCGACCACTACTAGTATGATGCTTTTTCCATTGGAATGAAGGAGTCATTCGATAAAGTTCATTGTAATATTATCCTATACTTGGCAAGGTATTGTTAGTGGTTGCAAGAGCCCTACTGGTGTCAAGGAATCTGCCCTGGCCTTTTGGCAGATGTCACATGCTGACATATATTTTTGTATATCCTTGTACATTGACAACCAATAAAACTATTGTGCTATCCTTTTGTAAGTTCTCAGTGTTCCTAAGTGGCCCCCGATTGGTGAGTCGTGAAATTTCTTTAATAGTTAGGGTATGACAGGGGTTTTGGGTGGAATTACAACTCAGTTGTGGAAATAAATCAAGTCATTTCGCCACCCATAAGGCTTATTAGAGTTCTCTATAGCCAAACTGCCAATTTTTTGCATATAGAAGTGACCAGTTGCTGCCTCTTGCATCTGGGTCCAAATACTACTTTGTAGGATATAAATAACATTGATGGTAGGGCTGCCTTCCTTCCTGGAGAGTGTATTAACAACTGAGTTTACTTTTTTGAACTTATAGAAAATCTCATAATCATATCCTACGAGTTTAGAGACCCACTTCTATTGTTTCGGGGTGGTGATCCGTTGATTAAGGAGGTATTTTAAACTAACCTAGTCCGTCTAGATAAAAAACTTGTGTCCCAGTAAGTACGGTCTCCAAAGTTTGATTGCCACCACTATAGCTAACATTTCCCTAACATATGTTGACCATTTGTGTTTGACAACACCCAAGGCACGACTCATATAGACAATAAGCCAACATTTCCCTAGCATATGTTGACCATTTGTGTTTGACAACACCCAAGGCACGACTCATATAGACAATAAGCCGGTTTTGTTGGGATAAAACTGCTCCTATACCATTTCTTGATGCATCTGTCTCTATCATAAAAGTTCATTGAAGTTTGTCAAGGCTACTATTGGTGTGGTAGTGAGTGCTTGTTTGAGTTGTACAAATACCCTACCTATTTCATCAATCTATCTAAATTGTCTTTTCTTAAGTAATTGAGTGAGGGGTTGGGCAAAAATGCCATAATCTTGAACGAACTTTTTGTAGTAGCTTATCAGCCCCAAGAATCCTCTCGGTGATGGTGGATGGTCATGCCTACCTTATCACTACTTGTATTTTAGTTAGATCAACCTTAACTCCTTGAGCGGTGACAATATGGCCTAAATACTCAAGCTCTTGGGCCCCCGAATATACACTTCTTTTGTTTCACATAGAATTGATGTTTTCTGAGGATCTCGAACACCTGTTTAACATGATCAAGATGTGAAGCCCAGTCTGACTGTAGATTAGAATATCATCAAAAAATATAAGTATGAACTTACATAGGTGTGCTTGGAAGATGGTGTTTATAATAGCTTGGAATGTTGATGGCATATTGCATAAACTGAAAGGCATCACCAGGTACTCATAGTAGCCATTATGAGTGCAAAAAGCAGTTTTGGGAATGTCATCGAGTACATTTGGACTTGGTGGTATCCGACAGTCAAATCAAGTTTGGTGAAATAAGCTGCCTCATATAATTTATCTAGCATGTCGTCAACGGTCGGAATGGGAAAGCGGTCATTGATGGTGACTGAGTTCAGAGATCTGTAGTCGGTGCAGAAGTGCTAAGTGTCATCTTTTTTTCGGACTAACAAAACCAGTTAGGAGAATGAGCTAGTACTCGGCGAAATTAGCCCGTCCTGTAATAACTCATTAACATGTTTCTCAATTTTAAATTTTTAAAAGTGTGCATACCGGTAAGGCCTCACATTGATTGGTTTTGTTCCGTCTTTGAGGTTGATATGGTAGTCAATCTCTTTAGTTGGTGGCAGCTGGTTGAGCACTCAGAACACTTCTTCATATTTGGCCAGGAGTTTTAGCATGTCGGGTCTATTCTCGACTTCTTCGGCTATCTTCCCATTCACCCCTGGCTGTTCTTCTGTCAGCCAACAAATGGCGCACATCAAGTGCGTTCTGTCTACCTCTTGAGTGACTTCGCTGATGGAAGCAAGTTGGATGGTCGGGGCGTCTAGGCCGCTTAATGTCCATCGACAACCATCAAACTGGAAGCTCATAGTGAGGTGTTTCCAGTGACACTTAACTGGTCTCAATTTTTCTAGCCACCGAACACCAAAAATCAAATCCAACCCAGTAAGTGGTAAAACATAAAGATGGAGAGTGAACAAGGTACCTTGGATGGTGATCGACACGTTGTTGAACTGACCCTGACATAAGAAAAGACGATCGTCTACAACCTTGACCGAGAAGGGCGGGATTGGCTTGATTAGTAGGCGAAGTCGATCATTTACCAGTTCATTGATGAAATTGTGAGTGGAACTGCTGTCTATGAAGACCACCACTGTGTGCCCTTGGATAGTAGCGGCGACCCTCATGGTTCAAGCGATCGGCCACCCGGTGAGGGTGTGGAGGGAGATTTCTTATGCATCTTCCCCTACTGTATCTTCGTCTTCATCCTCGACTGCGTCTAGAATCAGGAGTTGTGAGCAGCGGTATTTGTGGCCTGCCATGAACTGCTCGTTGCAATGGAAGCAGAGGCCTTAGGTGCACCTGTATTATATTTCTTCCTAGGCGAGGCATCTTGGTTGACCAGCATGGGGGGCTAGGGTTTGAGGCACTTGGGAAGGTAGGTTTCTAATTGGGCTGAATTGTGGGTAGTGCCCAACTGCTCTTCTCTCATATGAGCCAGGCTGATTGCTTCCTTGAGGGACTTGGACCTTAATATTCCAATCTCATATGCAATTTCGGGATTAAGTCCACCCATGAATGTCCCGGTGAAGGCCCTTTGTGTCCAGTCATGCACCCGGTTCCCAAGTCTTTCAAACTCCCGTTGGTATTCTTGTAATAGGCCTGTTTGTTTAATATGGGAGAAGGCCTCATCAAAGTCTTCTCCTTTGGTTGACCCGAAACGAGCTCATAGTTCCTCCACAAACCCGGTCCATGTCACTGTTCTCCCTTCTTCCCTGTAAGCTTTTTTTAACCAGGGCCACCATTGATTTGCCTCGTCCTCGAGATAGAAGGAAGCGAAGGAGACCTTGTGCTCCTCTTCGGTGTGCTGGAAATTAAAGAGTTGTTCGACTCGATTGAGCCATTCCGTCGGGTTGTCTCCCGAATAAGTTGGAAAGTCGAGCTTCGCCATTCGTGAGTGGAACACCGGTCGGCTACCGTCGATTCTTGTGGGGAAAGGTTGGTTCGTCTGGTGACTGCTGGAACTCTCTCGATTGAGCACGAGGGTGTTTATCAACCGCCGGATGACATTTTCTAGTTGGTGGAGCTTGTCAACCGTGCTTAACTCCATGCGACTCAAATGGTCCTGGATATCACTAACGTTGTGCTCTGGGTTTTCTATTCTCTCCTTATTGGTTGACATGATGAGTCTGCTCTGATACTACTGATAGAGGTCCTAATCAAAGCAAAATAAAGAATGAAATTTTTGTTCTTTGCTTAGGGTGTGAAGGAAACCACAAGTCTTTTAACTTTATTGCTGAATGAATTTTATTTACAGCTGTGGTGAATTTATGGGCAAAGGGGTCCTAAAATTCAGTCACTTACAATTGAAATCTAAACAAAAAAGATAACAACAAAATAGAAAAAATAACATGATTACTTAACCTGCTATCTTCAAATTTCTTAGCTCTGCAATTCCTTCACGTTTTTCTTATTTTTCTTCTGCAAACTATGGTTTGGGAATTGGTCTTCTCCGCGATCTACGTGATGATGTTGTAACATAAACTTATTTTATCTTTCATCAACAAAATATTATTAATCCGTATAGATTACTATATAACACATTATTAATAAGAAATTCTATTATATTTACTCAAACAAATAAATTTTAATAGAATTGTCCTACGTGTTTGAGAAAAAAATCTATAAATAACAGTAGTTTGCAAACTTTTTAGCTTATTTCTACCATAATTAACTTACATAAAATGAACACTAAAAATTATGATTACTTTTATGCACCTTAACCAGATTAATCATCAAGTATAACTCAATTTCATAAGTTCATGAGTGGTTAATTAAATAATGTTATATAAATTGTACATCATAAGTAGAACTGAAAATTCATGGTCACTGCAGTAAAAAGGAAAGTATTTGTACTTGTACTCGTTCTATTCAAGCATTTTATTTTATTGTAATATACAGCATTAGATTATACTGATGCTATCCAGGAGTTAAATTTGACCGGTTGGGTTCTCCAGATTGGACCCGTAAGCCGATACAACTCTGATTCTCCCACAGATATAGTTACAGCATTGACTTTGTATCATAATTGAAAGAATATGTTCTTCCTTTCAGTCTCCAAATTTAGAAAAAAAAAAAGATAAAAGAAAAAAATAACAAAATAAATACTACAAAACACCAGTCCCTAAAATAATGCGTGAAAGTTCTTCTCTCTTAATCGTGTGATAAAGAAATTCAAATTCCAAAACTTTTTTAAGGCTGAGAAAATGTGATATTCATGGGCTGATTCCGTCCAACTCTTGTAACTCCCAAAATCTCACCATAAGTTTTAAGTTTTCCAACTATCAACATTCTTGGAAAGAAACCATTTTTCTCTCCTCATCATAATAAGCCAGCCTCGAAAAGGTTTCTCCGCCTCAAAGTTTCATCTACGAGCTTGAAAGTCTTTTTTACGAGCTTCTGATCAAGGGCTGTGGTTCGATATATCTTGAACACCCTGTCTACTCGATCTGGGGTGGTGCTTTGAAAATACAACTCCTCAAATTTCTTCTTCACAAATCTGTATATCAAGTGCGTATGAAAATTAATTTAATTGGGTATTTTCCTCTTTCCAAAAGGAGAAAATACACTACTTGTAAATGCTTACTCATATGCATGCTCAATCTCCTGTTTTCCTGTTGAAACTGGCTGGTAATCTTTGAACCAGTCACATACACTTAGTGGCACCTACAGAATGCGCACATTCAAAAACCTAACCAATAATAATGTTCCACTACCAAATATATGAAGCAGACGTTTGGCTCTTACTTTTAGAACCTTCTTTTCAAAGATATCAAACTTGTTAAGAAACAGCATGAAGGATGTCTTCTGCAGAAAATATACCAGAGCAAGCTTAAGAAAAAAAAAACTGACAATAAGAAAATGATGAGATTCTACAAGCATACCGATAAGAAATACACGATTAGAAACATATAAACAGCAGCAGTGAGAATGAAGGTAAACCTCAAAACATGGCTGCTTCAGGACCCAGTCAAAGAGTTCCTTTGTCTCCATCATTCGGTTCTTATGTTCATCCTCAAAGATTATTTGATCATACCTGACACACCAACACACTGTAAGATAAGAGTCTTATAGTGTCATATTATGTTAGACTGTAGGTAAGTAGAGTCCACAGAAAGTCCAAAGCAAGGTTCAATTTATCACAAGTGTGGCATGCAGACAAACTAATAACAAGTGAAAGAAAGCAGGTGATCTTACTCGCTAATAGCAGCGCAAAAAATTACAGCTGTTACACCTTCAAACAGATGGATCCATTTCCTCCTTTCATTTCTCTGGCCTCCAACATCAAAGAGTCTGTAGACCTCACCACTTTTTTTATTCTCGCCAACAGGGCTGCTAATCATAACCAATTTATGAGTCATTGATCAAACTAAAGAGCACATTAATGGGCATGTCCCACTCTAGTTTAGGTTGAACTCCAAATTAACCATGCAAGTTCAAGCTTAAGATAAATATATTATCTCATAAAATACCACAGAATATTCATGCAGTAAATATGAAGTTATCATGTGAATTTTCATAGCCAGAAAAAAGAAAGATGAGATGGCTGGATAGAAAACCAGTAGGTCAATAAGAAATATGTTGCTATTGCCAATACAATTGTCTATTACAGCTTTTGGGTGAAAGTTAGCAGGCTACAGTGCTGGAAACACTGAAGGCAGGAGAAGAGAAAATCAGCAAGATAAGCACAACTCAAATGGGTAAAGTTGATAAATACATCAAACAGCTAGTTAGACACATGAGGAGGATAGGATAGTCACATTACTTCAGGAGGCACTAAGTTTGTCAAGGTATTTTTTCTTTGCTTGGAAGATGGCACTCATCCCATCCTTTTATATATTATCTTTCATTTTAATTTTTTAATGGATTATTTGGATGTATTTGGAAGGGTTTATTTGCACTTTCCATGATTACTATAAAACTTGAAACAGATAATTCACCTGAACTGGATTTCTACGACACCAGTTGTACGAACTCTTGCATAGAGAACATCCTCCTGAAATATCCAAATACACCATGAAGCTGATGGAGTTACTATTTTTATGAAATAAAGTAGCTAATTTTTGTACTAGTCATATAAAGAGCCTCA